TCTCACCGCTGGTTAACAGGATGGACAAGCCTCCTCCTCCCACCTCACTTCTTCCTGCCCACATATGCTTTTCTCATAAAAAGTACACCTCCTGGGTGAGTTCTGTACAGAGAGGCAGGAATGAACTGTAAGAAGAGCTTCATCAGCCGGAGGTAAGGGGAGGCACACTGACTCATTCCACATCCGGCTGGCGTCACATCTCACCTGGGCCATTCGGATCTTGTCGGGATGAATTCTAATAAACATCCTAACACAAATCATGCCCACCCCACCAACACACACACACACACACACACACACAGAATTTGCTGTTGTTGCTTTGTGTACACCAGAGATCAGCAGAATTTTTCTGCATAGTAAACATTTTCTGATAGTAAATACCTTTGGCTTTCTGGACCATATGGTCTCTGTCACAGCAAATCTGCTATGTAGCCCCCAAACACCCATAGAGTATACACAAATGAACGGGGGTAGCTGTGTTCCGATAAAACTTTATTTACAAATGCTGGTGGAGGGCCAGGTTTGGCCCACAGTCTGTAGTTGGCCAACCGCTGTCATATACAATAAAAGGCATCAACATACTCAAAATCAAGAACAAAATACCACAAGACGTCTAAGTTTTAAAAAGCAACGTAACTAAACCGTGTCTTGACCTAATGCAATCTAGCAATATAGAAGCCAAACAAGAACTAGTTGAAAATACTACAAAGAAGGCATACCACAGTGGCACGAGGTGTCCCATCTACTTGAGAGCATTTGCTTAAGACGTGTGGGGAGTCTAGTCGGGACTCACTAGCCTGCCAGCATCCTGAGAGCAGGAACCACCTTAGTACAGTGACTGGAACACAGCAGACCCTTGACAAATATCTGTGGAAGCAAGGAATGATAAAGCCACTGTCTGCTGGGTGGGCCCTGCTAACTAATGCTCAAATGGTAAACCTCCATTGCTTAGAATGACTGCTGGAAGAGGAAAGTGATGCTGTTGACCTTGCTGTGCCACACAACCTGTGGTCGACACTCCCTTCCCATGTGCCCCGGCGTTAGCCTGTACTCGTTCTCGTCAGCCTCCCGCCGCAGACAGAGCAGCGGGCAAAACACCCCATTTCAAAGATGACCAGCCTGAAACCCTGGAGCGTTGCCGTGTCTGATCAGTTTTCTGCTGTGTGTCTACAGCGAAGAGGAGAGAGCAGACATCTGCAAACATTTAAGCACAGTGGCGACACTGAAAGGCAGCTGAGGTCACCTGTCACTGGTCATACCACTGCCCCATGTTAGTCCTTCACACGTCATCCCACCTTCCCACCGTGCCACTCTCAGGGAAGAAGCCCCTGACTGCCGGGGGCACACGGAGGGGACAGGTGGCTGGCGGTTACTCTCACTAGGCAGCGCGGGCCCCGTGACAGAGGGAGAGACGGGTGGCCAGGCTGATGGGCCACGGGCACAGCTGCAGCAAGGCCGGCCGTGTACCCGAGACCGGATACCCACGGGGACGGCTGCGAATGTCTGCACACTGACCCCTGAGGAGAGCGAGGTGAAGAGGAAAGATCCAAAGTCCCACTTAAACCGTCAGACTCAGGAGCACATGGACACACCATCAGTGGGGCTACGACAGAATGTGACGTAGCAGGGAGTTCAGAGACCGCTAAGGCCTACCCTGCACGGTAACGCAGGACACGGCCCCGGGAGGGAGGAAACAATCCCTACGTTTCAAAGGAGATCCCGCGGATGATCTGGTGTTTACAAACTGTAAACTCCTATTACTGAGTATATTTGGGGGGAAACGTTTGATAGCTCTTTAGATTCAAGTCAGAAGTATAGTAAGCGCTCTCGGAAGAAAACATTTTAAAAAATACAGCATATTCAACGAATACTTAAGGAGCCCTTACCTTACATGCTTGGCTCTGAAGAACAGCAGTGAGCCCCCTGCACTTGGTCACGGCCTCCTGGACCTCTTTAAAGTGGACGTGGCTTTGAGACCTAAGTATGAGGTAGGGTTCCTGCCATCAAAGTGCTTGCACTTTAGTTAAGGAGAGTGGACATTTCAGTTAAAAAAAGAAGAAACAAAGCAGCGAGGCCGTGTCAAATGAGCGGCAGGAAGAGAAGGGTCAACGTAAGGACTGACTGCAGTGGTTCTGCGTGGCTGGAATCCTCTTTGTGGAGGGCCTGAAGGAAGGTTATCACGTGGCCAGACGCGGGGCCAGCGTGAGGGCCTTCTCAGCAGAGGGGGGGCTGGCACAGCCCTGAAACCAGTGGGGCCGCAGTTGGGGCGGAGGGCAGACAGGCGGGGCAGCAGCCCAGACTGTGGAGCACGGGAGAGCCATGACAGCTGGGCTGGGGAGGGAGAGGGACGGCGGTGACAGGAGGAGGCCTGGACACATGGGTGGCGGGGAAGGGGAGGAAGTGACCTGGAGCCCCTGCCTGACGAGGCGCTGGCAGAGAGAGGCGCCGTGTACGAGAAGGAGTGAGAGCTCACCTGCAGCCCACCGACTGCCGACACGCAGAGGAATGTACAACTGCCTAAAATGGGTAGAGAATTTGTCTCAGACCTGGCTCTGAAATTTTCATGTTCATTTGCTTAGCAAACCCTCCATAAAAATAGAAAACACAGATTTCCAAACAGAGTCCACATTAAACAGGTCTTCAAAAAAGAAGACAGAAAATCGAAGCAAGATTCTGTACGTAGCTTAAGTTCCTTAAGTTTAAGGAACAGTTTCTTTTCCTTATTCTAACAGCAAGCGACCACATGACTATAGATGAAAAAGAATTTTTCCACGGCAGATTCCCACCTTCTTGCATGGTGTATGTGATTTGATCTCTGGACTCCCAGGCAGTGATTTCAGAAAGCTCTCTGACAAATGCAAAACGCACAGACCTCATCCGACAACCGTTTACTGAATATTTCTAATTTCTGTGTCAGGCACAGGGCTGAGTGCTGAGGGTCTAGAGATGAGGAAGACAAGGTCCCTGCCCCCAAGCGGTGGAATGCAGTACAAGGAATGTGTAGTGCAGGGCTCAGGGCATGGCTCTTCGCTTTCGTGGACCCCACTGCAGCCCTAGCTCCAAGTCCTGAGTGCCCAGTGAGTATCCGCTAGGCCATTGAATGGGGCCCACCGGCCTGAGAGTGGCTGCTACCGGCATCTTTGCTCCTCATGCAGTGGCCAGGAGATGCATCAGGCTGTTCGTTTTCGCTTTATCTGTACTTCTGTAAGTGGGCTGCCACCTGTAATCCTGGGGCATGAAGGCCCTGCCCAAGGGGTACATAAAGCCATAGACAGAAATAATGCATCTTCTTAGAATGTCCATTTTAGTCAGTGGTTAACTATCCAAAATATTTTTATATTAAACTCAAAATATGCCCTGGACAACATGAAACCGAGTCTGATTTTAAAGGTAAACCCCCAAGATTTTAAGGAAATGTCATACTTTTCACAGGCCACTCTGTACCATGTGCCCCAATCCTGGCGATACACCTTCGTTCTCCATTTCATGAGAGTCCTTCAGTACAAAGGGAGGAACAGGATTTCCTGGTCGAGATGTTCACCAATTACCACCTTAAAGGTTCTCCCTCACTGCCCTCCTCCAACCTTAATATCTAACAATGCAAAGCAGAGGTGGGGCCCCGTCCAAACCTTAAACCACAGGAAACAAGGTATCCAAGTGCTCTCGATGGTGTGTACCGGTAGCTCTTTTGCCCCGACATGGGTACGTACCCAAATTTGTGGTCCTAGGTGGTGCCAGTATTTTAATTAATCATCCTGGGGGCTTCCCTGGTGGCGCAGTGGTTGAGAGTCCGCCTGCCGATGCAGGGGACACGGGTTCGTGCCCCGGTCCGGGAAGATCCCACGTGCCGCGGAGCGGCTGGGCCCGTGAGCCATGGCCGCTGAGCCTGCGCGTCCGGAGCCTGTGCTCCGTAACGGGAGAGGCCACAACAGTGAGAGGCCCGCGTACCGCAAAAAAAAAAAAATTCATCCTGGGCTGTTAAGTCTAATCTCAAATTACCAGGGAGCATCTAGTAGTTAAAATTAATTAACAATTCTGGCCACACTGTTCTCAGTTTCCATTCGGCTTTGCACCCTGCACTGTGGCATAAGCCCCGACGCGGCGTGGAGGCTCCTCACCAGCAGGACCCTCTGCACAGAGATCAAAACCTTTACAGGAAGATAGACTATCCCAGTCCTGGCCTTGGAGCGGAGAGAGAACACCTGAGTCCAGTCACTTTCTCTTTAGCTCAGACTTCCACAGCAAATGCTGAGTGCTCAGTGACTCCAGGGAAGCCTGCGCCCGTGGTTCCCCGGCCGGCCAGGGGCTGAAGGTCCATAAATGTTTGCAAAATCCTGCCTTTATGTCCGTTCCAGATCAAAAACATATCTCAGTATCCTGGCTTCTCTTGCCTTTTTAAGAAAGTCATCAACGAAGGCACTTTTGTTTATACATGAATTCATCTCGGGCTGTGTGTGTGTGTGTGTGTGTGTGTATGTGTGTGCGTGTGTGTGCGTGTGTTCAGGAGGGTGGGTCTGGGGAGGCTCGTGGGTTCACTGCACGTCTCTCAGCCGCATCTGTCGCTCTGGGTCTGAGGGCCCCTCTGTGCTTCCCTTGCTTTCCTTGCTGCTGGCACCTCGCATACCAATGTCATTAGGCACTGTCTGCCCTGGTCCTCCTACAATCCAGCCAGTGCAGTTCCCGTCACAGCAAGCACTTCCTCGTCAGAGCAGACAAACCGACTCAAGCCACAGCCGGAAGCAGGTTGACCACAAGTGCTAAGGTTCTGGTTAGTTCTTTTCTAGGTAAAGTTGGAAAAGTCCCTGCAAAGGCGAACACTGAAGTTTTAGACACGGGGGCGGCACTGACCTCTTGAAATGTTCTTGACTGGAAAGAGGGAGGCTGTGTGTGTGAGAGAGAGAGAGAAACACAGAGAGACAGAGAGGAGAGGAAGTTGGATTGTATGATGCAAATGCTCATCATTCTGAGAAGCGTTTTTTTTTTTTTCTTCTTCTTCCCAGGTTCAACTGAAGAGGCTGTTCTAAGAAAGACAACTGAGATCATCAGTCACCCCCTCAGAGAAAGTCCACTGAGGTAGAGTTTTGTTTACCATGTAAACAACGCAACATTTATTGTTGAATCCCTTATTCTTTTACAGTCAGACTAGAGAAATGCAATTTTTTTTTTTTGGTGGGGGCGTGAGGGTCAAAGAAGGGGTCATGGTCGAGAAGATGGGTCCTGGGAAGATGGACCTGTAAGCCATAGAATCCCCTCGGGGAAGATTCAGGAAGGCAAAGACTGTCCTTTCAACTCAAATGTCAAATGCGTTTCCACTTATCTTACCAAGCAAGACGACAAACAGGATTTTCCCAGAGTGCCTGGCGATGCTTAGGTGACAGGAGTGACTGAGGGGCAGGCCTGGAGACAGATCCTTGGCTGCCCCATGTATCCAAACCTCCCCATGTATCCAAACCCCCAGAAAATGCCTGGAAGAGAGCGGAAGGGGAGGATTGAAGATAATCCTTAACTTTTCTAAAGCAGGGATATATTACACTCAATAAACTTTAAATATTTGCCCCTCTTGTGAGTTAGGGTGACTGTTTGCATTGAAGAGGAAGAAAATAATCTTTAGAGCTCATTTTTCTAAGATCATGGAAAACAAACAAATAAAACCCAGAATCCATTGCTTTGGGTGAAAAAACAGTGATAGTAACTCTAAGTATGCTCAATGACTCCAAAATTGTCATTTATAGTATCTATTATATATTTTAAAAAAACTAAATTGAAAAAATAGATTCCAAAGGTAAGAAGATTGAGGGTTGGGGGCTAGAGGGATGGACAGGTAGAGCACAGAGGACTTGTAGGACAGTGAACCTATTCTGTTTGCTGCTCTAACAGTGGATCCACGTCATTATACATTTGTCAAAAGCTACAGAATGTACAACGCCAAGAGTGAATCCTAACGTAAACTACTGTCTTTAGTTAATAAGGACGTATCTAGATTAGTTTATCAATTGTAGTAGCTACACCACAGTAATACAGAAGTTAATAACGGGAACTGGCGGGTGAGGTGGGGAAAAGGGGGCATACGGAACTCAGTTCTTTCTGCTCAGTGTTTCCTGTAAAAAATAAAACCTATTTCAAAAAATGGATCCCACACCTGGAATTTGTTGGCCAGCCTGAAATGAAACTCAAGGGTCCAGGTCCCTGTATCTCACAGGTTTGTTTCTGTAGCAAGCCCATGTCGTCAGTGTGTCAGTGGGAAGAGCTGCGTCCTAGGATCTGGAGCTGAAGCCCTGACAGTCCAGAGTGTTCACAGGACAGTGAGCTGGGGTGAGTCAGCCAACCAGCCTGGGTCTCTGCTCCCTCTCTTTTTTTTTTTTTTTTTTTTGAGAAAGAGATTACTGGCTACTTCACAGGGTGAATGTGAGGATCAAATGGCTGTAAGAACGTGGCCCGTCAACTGGAAAGCACTATGCACAAGTATAGGTCAGTGTCAGCGGCCTAAGGTCACAAAGCTGGTCTGCGGCCCACGATGCCGACCCCAGGTGTGGCGCCTGACTGCCACGTAAGTTAGTTCTCCCCCTCCCGGGGTGAGGGTTTCGATTTTAGAGGCACAGATTTCTCTTTTGCCGATGGAGCCACGGGAAGGGTGCCCACGCTGCTCGCAAGTGCAGGCGTCAGCGTGGTCTGCTGCTCTTGTCTCGGACGACATCACCCAGACAGGCCCCATTATATAATCTTCAGCTGGGATGGAATGACCACTCACCCTTCCAGACTCAGTTAATAGCTGTCCTTGGACGATACAGTGTAACAGAGACGCCCCGCCAGGGAGAGAACCGCACCCATTTCTGATGAAATCCCTAGGCAGAGTCAGCTGCAGAGTCACTGCTTCATGTCACTCTGGGCCCTCAGGTGAAGTGATGCTGGGCTCCCACTGGGGCCACGAGAAAGCAGCGCTCCCTACTTGGAGAGGTGCAGCTGGTTCCTGGGCCCCTGAGGTGGTGGGAGGAAGAAGCCTGAGGTCACAGAGGAGGGGAGAAAGGTGGGGGATGGCCTGTGCTGGAACAGGGCAGGGCGGGCCGGGCGGAGATTCCTGATGAAGAGCCCTCAGGCGAACTCGGCTTCTCCCAGGCTGGCTCAGGATGTTCTGCTCAGGCCACGTCCCCTGCACGTTCAGTTAGCTAAGCAATCTACCAGAATGTTCCTTGTGGTTACGTATGGGATTTTAACAGTGTTTCTTGGTTGGCCTCTATTCTTTTTTGCATTCCACGAGTTTTCAACTTTGATCTCTTTATACAATGATGGTTTTTTTTTTGGTTGGTTTTTAGCCTACTTAAAAGGCTTTCCAAAGTTCTTTGCTGTTGTTTTGGGGAAAAAGACTTAGTGTTTGTCTTTGGACATACAATCATGCACGCCTCACCTGCAGCAGGGTCCCGCGAGATAGCGTGTCGGCCTCTGGCTGCTGTGCTGGAAATCTCCTCCTGATTGAAATGGTTTTACTGAAGGCCAGCCCTGCCTAGACACCCTGAGAAACCGGTGATGGGAGGGTGTCATCTTTGTCACCGTCCGTACGACTTCAGTGAGAATTCAAGGGCGCGCCACCAGCGCCATCCTGACTTGAGAGGGGTTTGGAAGGCAAGGTGCCCACAGCCTGAACTCTTCCGGGAGAAAGTACAATTCTCCAGATTCCTCAATCCTTTCCAACCGCCCCACTTTACCAACCTGCCCCTTGCACTCTGACCCACACACTCACTAGCTCGTTCACATGGGTCTCCTCTCTCCCTCCTGATACCTCCCTGCATCCACTCCTGACACAGACCCTCGGTAGTCGTTTGAAAGTTGCTTTGTGGAACTGTAGAGCTAAAGGTGGCCTAAGAGACCCTCTGGTTCAACTTTCTCACTTTACAGGTGGTAACACGGGGGCCCTGTAAAAAAGTGCGTTTGTGAAAGGAGAAACTGAGACCTTGTCCACGTCATAACCTTTAAATACAAACAGCTGTACCTAAATGCTAGCATCTTTTCCTCATTCCCACATTCCCTAGACACACACTAGTAGGCCTCAATCTGAAGAGATACATTTTAAAGAATCCTGAATATATGTACTCGGTAAAAACGAATTCAGAATATTCTCATAAAAGCCAGGGGGTCACACACCTCTCAGTGGCATCGCGCACTACCGCCCGGCTCTGTCAGACGCAGCCCGTGTTCAGAGCAGAGAGGAAATGAAGGAGTGCAGGCCAGGGAGTTACCGGCGTGGCTATGGAGTCGGGGACCGAAGGGGCAGGGCGGGTGGCCCAGTGGGGTCTGCGGCGGGGGAGGGGCAGGAGGCGGGCTCAAGGTGTGGAAGGGAGGAAAGTGCATTTTGGGAGCTTAAAAAATCTGCTGAATTGGGAGAAATGTGCGTGTAAACAAATATTTTACATACGTGTGCAAACACGTCAACCCCTACACACACCCTGGGGCTGATGAGCCAAGGGGAGACCCTAGCAGAGGCGGTGAACACGCCGGCAGCCACGCTCACACTGCGCCCAGGCTCACGGACCCCACGCTCGGGCGGACCCGAGTGCCGGGGCCCTGCGCGAGCAGTAAGTTCATGGCTCTGCTCCCCTCACTGCTGCGCACAGTGCCCTCGCACACCTTGGCGAAGGGCAGGCGTGGGGAACTCGGAAGAGAGGGCCGGGAGGGCCCTGCAGGCCCGGCTCCCATGCCCAGCGCTTCCGGACAGGAGGAAGCCGCCCACGAAGCGCGGCCGGGCGGGGGGGCTTCGTACCTCCAGACTAGAGGGCAGGACGTGGTGTGAGCCTGGGTGGGGAAACCGAAGCTCTGCAGCTGCCATGGACACGAACCCCGGCTCAAGTGCAGAGGGTGGGGCGAGAGCGCGCCTGGCCGGCTGGGTGGCACGTCCAGTGATGCTGACGCGCTGTTTCCAGCCGCCAAGGGGCGAGTGCCAAATCCCTCTCCACTTCTCCCTCACTCCGACGTGCCTGAACTCTGCCGTGGTGTCAGCGAGCTTCAGAAAGCTTTCTGGGCCGGATGAGAGGGCGGCACAGCCTGTATCCCTACCTTCCCACGGCTGAGGGCTGGCGGAGCCCAGCGGGCACCTTAAGCAACTCCGTGGCCTCCCGGCTTAGGCAGGAAAGCAGAAGACACATCTCGGGATCTTATCAACCCCACCCCACCCCCACCCCGCCCCAGCATATCCTCACTGGAATTCCAGCATAAAAGCCCAAACCCGTTCCTGTACATCTGTGCAGAAGCAGAGGGTTTCCATGTCACAGTATCAGCAGCCAGGGCCCGCCTGCCAGGTACACAGTGAAGCACAGGTGAGGCGAGAACTCGGGAAAGGGGAGGTCGGGGAGCGTTAGGTGCACGCCCCTCCCTCCTGCACCCGAAGTCCAAGGAGGTCAAGTGAACTGATACAAGATGGAACAAACTGGAAATCTCCGGTGGATCAGTGTGTGTGTGTGGGGGGGGGTGGGGGTGGGAGTAGGGGGATGGGCAGGCAGGGGGAGAGAGCGGGCTGCTCTACCTGTGAGAAAAAGTCAGCGCCAGGCCTAAGGGAGGATGGATCAGAAGCTCTGACGTTTAATTTTCAGGGAGTTCTGTGCATTCACATGAGTCCCCTGGGTGTGGGAGCCCAAGTCTGGCTGTGGCTCCGGTGAACCGTCCTTCCCCTTTAACCAACCCCTCTCTCTCCCCAAATGTGGTCACCAAAGGAAATATCATCCCCTGTTCCAAGCTTAGGTGAGGCCCACGAAATTTATCAGATTGTAGCAAGTCCAAATGAACACCTATTGCAGGTACACCCTTCATAAGAGCTGTGCTCTGCCATTCCTGAGCTCCAGTCTTTTAAACAACCCCTGTAGCACCGGATTCAGGTGGCTGCCTGACTGGCGGTGCTGGCGGCAGCTCAGAGACTTAACCCCATCCTGTTATTTGTGCACTTTCCCTAGGGGATCCTCTCTCCTGCTCTTCTCCCTACCCCCCTTTTTCCGGCCCTTGCCTCTTCTGAAGGCAGCTGATTCAGCACCGCAGCGGAGAGAGGAGGGGCCCGGGAGATGAGCCAGTCTTAGTCAGGAAAACCCACCACATCCAGAGCCCAACGGCTGCGGGTTCTCGACACTGAGGCACGTGTGCGAGCACAGATGGAGCCACGCTGAACGTGCACACGTCAGGACCCCTCCAGCGTGGGCTAATCATTGGACCTGGATGTGAATCTCAGCCCGAGCACTTCTCAGCCGCGTGACCCTGGAGAAGCGGTTCAACCTTCCTGGGCTTTAGGTTCCCGTCTGGGAGATGGTGATAGTGCCACCTGCAATGCTGTTATGGGGACCAAACAAGATCATACACGCAAAGCATTTATCTCAGTACACACTGATTAAACGAGACCTATTACCACGGTATGATCCAGTCTGCTTGGGTCAGGGCGAAGCACAGCACAGCCCAGAGTTCACAGGAGCACCCTCTGTGCCCCAGGATCAGGCTGGCGTGGAAGAAGGTTCTCCCCAGCTAGTTCACCGTTCAGTTCACTCGTCAATTCACACACTATCCTGGCAAAGAGGAGGGGCTGGAGCGGCCCCTGTGAACTATGGATGAGCAGTATCCCATCTGATCACCCTGTCTTTAAATGCAATTAACTCAAAAACACACCTCTGAAAATACACCTTATGTTGACAAGGTAGAATTCCAAGCTTCAGAAGGGAAATCTCTATTTTATTAGCAAAGTAGATGCCTTAATATTTAAGTTATTGTTTGGTCTTCTTTACCAACCTTTCCTCTTAATGCTTCTCGAGTTTCTAACTTTCAAGAATAACTTAGGTCTGCTTTTCAAGGACTGACTTTTCTCCTGAGTTTGACTGTCATAGAAAATTGGGCTGCTGGGTCTTTGCTTGGAATCATGTATTTGATCTTTTACCTACAACACGCCCACTGTGCAGTATTTAAATTCCTTCAGGCAAAGATACTCACAACTGATTTACCACTTATTCTGGTTAAATACATCAGACTGCATGGCCTGTCAAATCATCATGTATAGACTGACACAAATTCTCATTTCAGTTGGCAATGGAGAAAAGCCAATAGCGCTAAACATCATTCAAGCAAGGGCGTGTGGTACATAAATTATAGTCCAGGGGTAAAAAAAACAGTCCACTTATTACAAAGGCTATCGCCAAAACTCTATGTGGTAGCACCAGACTTCAAGTTCATATGGGGAGAAGGGAACTCAGGGTTTTTTCCTCCTCCTTTGAACTGCCAGGGCTAAGTGAGGTCACTCTGTAGTCACATTTCTCTGAAAGTTCAGCCCTGTCTGGGGCCTGAGTCAACGAATCTGAGACCGGCTCTGCACTACTGGGTGGCGCTGGGAGTCCTGTAACTTAGAGAGTCACAGAAGAGGCTGAGCGTCCCGAAGTCACCTCCGCGCAGTGCCACCTCCCATCATGTGCGCAAAGCCAAGAGACGAACCCACCAGCTAACCCAGTATAATCCGGATAGAATCTAACACACAGCACTCCGGGGGCACTCCCCATGTTGCCGGAACCCCTGGTCCTGGGCAGTGAACCCGAGCGGAGGACAGCCCTAACCGCACACACAAACGTCACAAGTATCCGTGACCGACTCAACAGAGAGACAGTGATAACGTCAGCCTGGTCCTGCTTCAACATTTAAGGACACTTAACAGTTTTAAATTTAAGAGAGAGGAAGACACAGGAATTTTCCACTGGAGGATGCCTGTTCTGACTTTTCTCAGTAATAGCACGTCAACAGCCGAGACGCCTTACGCAGTCCTGGCACCTAGGAGTCGGTGTTCGCACCAGCTGTCCACGCTGCAGCCCTCTGCTTCCCGGCTGACGGCTCTGTGCCTGAGTGCTTACCACCTCTGTCCCCGGGCCCACACGTTCCTCTCCGCCACCCCATGGACACGTGACGGGACACTGACCCCGATTCACACATGGGTCAGGAAAGTCCAGGGACTTGCCCGGGGTTACCGGGCTCGGAAGGGCCGGAGCCAAAACTCACACCTTCCATGTTCTGCCCCCAGATCCCATTCTTAGGTGGTGATGACTGCATGGGAGGCATCAGCCTGGGCCTGGCTTTGCCAGGAAAGGTCCCACCTCCAGTGAAAGG